TTATTCCTTCATGGTCCACTTGTCTTGACCACGCAGTAATTCAGGAAGAATTTTCTACTAAATCTTCCCAGAATTTTCTACTAAATCTTCATGAGGAAAGTTTTTTTTATTAAAAATTATCACACTTACCATTCAAAGGGAGTCTTTGTGATATAAATAATCTAAAAAAAGACCGGTAGCGAGTCTTTGTGATATAATATTCTAAAAAAAGACCTGTAAAAGTCTTCGCATCTGTGATATAATATTCTAAAAAAAACATGTAAAATTGACTTTCTTTGTCACTCTCACTCTCACAGATGCCATACGGGAACAGAATTGGTGCCATCAGAGGGTGTGGATAATGACTCGGTGTTGAAAAATCTATGGACTCATCAGGATGCATTTCTGTGCTGTTCCCTTAAGGTAAAAGAAAGAAAGAAAAAACAAACAAAAATATGAACCAAATAAACATAATATAATGTCTGGTGTGGCTGTTTTGAGAATTACAATGTGATTTATCATTCACTTTGGTTGGTTTTGCAGTCATTGCCCCCAGTGTTCATGTTTGCAAACCAAGCAGGACTTGACATGTTGGAGACAACCTTAGTTGCCTTACAAGACATCACTTTGGATAAGATTCTTGGTGATTCTGCCCGCAGGGCTTTCTCTGCTGATTTTTCCAACTTAATGCACCAGGTTGGTTACCCCCATAGTTGACTTTCACTTCATTTCATCCACCTGATTCATCAAAATTTGAAGCAAACTCGTCGTGGGTGGCTGTGTGACGAAAATGTAATGATATATATGAGCTGATGACAAATTGTAAACAAACTGAATCTTACTTGTTACCTGTTTAGGGCTTTGCTTACATTCCTGCTGGAATCTGCATGTCGACGATGGGGCGCCATGCTTCCTTTGAACAGGCCATTGCATGGAAAGTCCTTGCAGAAGATGAGTCTACTGTGCACTGTCTTGCCTTGTCCTTCGTCAACTGGTCGTTTCTGTGATTCTTTTCCCTGTAAACTTGTTGAAAGTTATGTAACAGTTCAGAAAATAGGAAGGGGTTTCTTCATTTTTGTAATATCTTATCTATATATCAGTCTCAGGTTTGAATCATAAGGATGTATCTGGCAGGGGAAATTTTCTGACGATGGCAAATTCTTTTGTTGAATGATAAGAATGGAAAATTTTGTTGCATTACTGGAACCTTAGCCTGAAGCAAATTTAGCAGTGTACAACAGTTTGTATATAATCAATGGTGGTTGGATCGTGATGCAGTAACGATAGAGTGTTGAACCAAGAACCAAATCAAACCACCCATATTCATTCACCACCTCAAATGCAAATTATACACACTGACATAATAAAGATTCAGTCTCAGGGCATTTACTACAAAATATCATATCATAAAACAGCGAGGAACAGTAACAATGAAGCAGAGGGCGTTACAAGTAGGGTGAACCAATTTCTTTCAAGTTTCTTCTCTTTAATAGTGGCAAAATTCACCGGGAAGCAAGAGACCAGAAGTTCATGAAGAATGAAGGCAACGCAGTAAACCAGCTAATGAATGCCATGGCCGTGGCAGTTTCAAACTGTACACAGTGGTTCTGGTTGCAGCTACCTAGATCGTTGTCTATAAGGACAGTGATGCCTGCAGAAGCACAAGCTGCAGCGAATGTGAGGGTTGATGTGATCTGCAGGAGAAAACAGTCGGGTATCAACTGCTAGACAAGTAAAATTCGAGAGAACAAGTCTAATATAGCACATCATTCATAATTGGTTGGAAAAAAATGGTTGCAGAAATTGTGGAATTCTAAGAGGTTCTCTTAGTATTCAAATTCTTATCACACGAGAATCGATGTAAGAAACGACAATGGAAGTCCAATTTACTATTTGCTCTTATTTTATTTATTATTAACACTTTTTTTTGAACTGCAACAAAACTGCTTTCTTACTTTCATTGAGAAGAAATGAAAGATGCTATTTGCCCTTGTGGTTATACTAATGAAAAGATAAAAGCAAAAATTTCAAGTATAATTCAATCTTTTCATCGGCTATTAATAACTCGAAACTTCCAACATAGTTTTTCAGCCTGAGCAAACCAACTTCAACTGGATACAAGTATGACAGAATTAGACACATTGGGGACCAGAACATGAAATGGAGATTTCCATCAGAGCAAACCAAGTTGCATATGTGAAACTAAGAATTTAAATAAAATAATCAGCATCAACTTTCTCTAGCATTTCCAAGTTCATTTATTAGTCACAACCCTAAGAGAATATCTTCGGCCTTAATGCTAGCATACTGAAAACGCAATAATTCCATTATTCCAACCCAAGAAAGATGAACTTGAGCTAATTAGTAATGCAGCAATCAGCTTCCAGAATRTTTGAGAACGTAAGGGTGAATCTACAGATGAAAAGTATGCAAAAATCAAAATCTGACACTTTGTTATTAACATACYCCATCGCCAATAGTGAACAAGCTGACTATCCGGCGATTCTGTAATGATCTTTTCACCAATAGAGCATATATATCAACAAACGCTAACGAGAGGCTCCACAAACTCTGCAAACTAGCTGCTGCAACAAGGTAGCTGAAATAGCAGAAGGTGAATTTCTTCAAGGACAGCACACACAAAGACTAAGATAAGATGTAGATGCATGTACTAAGAACTCAAGCTCGTACATGAAGTAAATGATAAAAGATAAACCTAAAATTTAAAGCTAAGGAATCTGAGACCAACCCAATAGGAAATAACCATCAGCCAACAAAGCATGAAACAATCTAAACAGGTTATCAACATTCTTCATAGGTCCAGGACTTCATAATTCCTATGTYTTTTTCTCACAGCATCCAAAAATAGGACCATGAACTGCTCCAAGTATACACAGGATTTTACTACTTAGTCGAGGTCCATGATTATTGATGGTCGGTAAAGAGATAAATTTCATGGGTCAGTGGGTCAATTGATTACTGAACCCATATGCCATCAAGCTCTTCCATACTGAAGGCTCCACTTGAGTTTGCCATTTAATTTTATAGACATGGATTGCATCTTCAGCATGATAGGCAACAACACAATGAATACATTATACAGAGAGAGCGATTGTTCATCAGCTTCAAAATTCGGCCCTAGCTTATCCCAAAATTTGATCACAATTACATAGCCAAGTAGCAAATCGAACTAAACTGAAGTAAATGAATCTAATTCACTGAAAAATTAAATCTAGTTCGAACGACAGTTGAATTACTAAAAAGTACTCTCTCTTATGGACCTGAAAAGATCCATCCAACCCAGCCAATCCTAGATCCAAAAGCTACAAGTCGAGTAGAATAAATTGAGACATACCAAAAGGCAGTAACAGAAGGGAAATCGCTGGTGGTAGCCATGACAACCACCGCCGCCGCCGCGAACGCAAACTGAGCGAGACGCAAAGCAAGCCCACCGCGCGTGCCGGGCATTCCTTCCATGTCCTTCATCCTGAGCCTGGGTGCGTCGTCGGCGCCGTCGGTTGTGGGGGGATCTTCGACGGGGTGAACCGTGGCATGGCTCACATTCATTTCTCCACGACGGCGATGCCTCAGTTCCTCATCTCTTCCCCAATCGCGTCGACATTGTCGGCGATGCTGGCTGTGAACCCTCGTTTGATGGATACTGCTGAAGAATCTCAAGCTGATGGAGGAGCCACATGCGGAAACCAAATCTATGTTGKTGTCTCCAGGAATCTGCGTGGGAGAAGGAGCGAGATCCTTGAATTGAATTCGCGACCAAGAACGTTCGGCGCGGCGATGGCCGATCAATAAGGGCCTCTTCGTCTTCGGGCTGTCTCCGTATTCTGAAATACAAGTTTGGTTTTTTTTTCCGTCACAAATTTGTTTCCAATACATAATTTAATTAGATGCTTAAAGTTTTAAAAATTTTAATTTACTCCAGCCCCCGGAGTTATTTATASTATGCGCTAATTGACTTATATCACCAATTGATTTCGATCTGGACCCACATATTATACTGAAAATCTTCGTAAATCATTCATTCCTTCTATTTCTTTTACTTAGCTTTAAATTCTAATGCATTAAACTAATTTAGTSAAAGATAAAATATTTGTTATTATTATATAAAAAAATATTAATATGGTAATGATGGAGATAATTTGTAAAGTGAAATTGAAACTTTTRAAATTATAAAAATTACATTGAATTAAAATAATGTGTAAACGTGGACAYATTGAAAATGATAGAGAGATTAAAATTTATAATCTAACCATTTTTTATAGTCTCAAATGTTTGATCAAACCATGATAATCACGTTCATATAATAGGATATGATATGATGATTGCCTATTCTATTAAATGAAGTATGCAACTAGATAAAACTCCATAGGGATGCCTCAATCATGTTTTTCTGGTGGGGCGTCTTGTTTTTAAATTTGTAAATACTTTTAAATACTATTTTGGTCTTTATATATAATTTTTTATTTTGATTTATTTTGGACTATGTTTTAAAACATAATTTTGATCACTATTATTTCAATTTTTTTATTTTAATCTTTTTACTTTCCTATGTTTTGGTTCCAATAGTTTTAAAAAGTGACAAATTTGATTTTTATTTTGCAAAATTGGAATACAAATTTTATAAACAATGGAAATCCTTTAGTACAAATTTATGACTACATTTTAGGAAATTTAGTAAATGAAATATCATGCTAAAATTATAATAGAAAAAACTAAGATAAAAATAAAAATAAATGAATCAAAATAGTTATTTTTTTAAAGTAGAGAAATCAAAATGAACGTTTTATAAATATAAGGACTAAAATAACAAAAAATTGAAAGTACATGAATTAAATTAGACATTTTGAAAATACTGGGCTAAAATAATATTTAAACGTTGATATGATAATTAAGTTACTGAGCAGACATATGGGTATGAAAAATAATTTTTATCAAACTTTTTTGAAATTTGGCATTAGCAAATGGTTTTTCTTTTGGATCGGCCTATAATTTTTGTTGTGTATTTATTTTATTTGAAGGCTGAATTGGAAAATTTTGAATCCATCTCTTTTTTTTTTTTACATATCTTCCTACTCAAATTAATTTGCATAGAGTTCTAAGTTTTTCCCTCTTTATTTGGAGCCATTTTGCTTTTATTATGTCTGAAAAATTATTATTAACATAGTGATTATCTCGGAGAAAAATCAGGAAATTTAGGTGTAAGCCTCATCAAATTGGTTGCAATGCTCAACACATATCTCTGGTAAAAAGTGGTCTTTTATTCTTAAATTTTAAGAGTAAATCACACAAATTATCTCGAGTAAATGATGCAGTTACATTTAACATTATAAGTGGAAAAATTTATACCTATGAACTTATTTAAAATTTTATTGCTTAATAAAAAATAAATGGATGTCCATCCTATTATAGTTACAAATTTTGTTTATATGCTTAGATTTAGAATTTTTATTTTTACTAATAGGTAAAATGTAAAATAATAATAATAATAATTGTGAGATCGGGACAAACACAAATTTCATTAGAAATTAAAATGCTTGCCCAATTAAGATTGATGACTTCATTTTGAAGTTTGTACAATAGATGAAAATTTTAAAATAAAGAATTTATTGGATCCAGTTGTAATMTGAGGTSAATTTGATCCCAATAATTTTAAAAGTTTAAATTTCATCAGTATAGTTTAGTCAAACATCACAAAATATTCTTCTCGGTAAAATATTGAATATAGACACTTTTTTTATTTATTTACATGACAACGAACTAACGTTTTGTATTTAACTGAGTGACTATATTAATTAACCCATTAAAGTTTAGGGTTGAATACAAAAAAGAAAAAAAATGTAAATATTTGAGTGGATAAAAGAAGATTTATTGACGATCTGCAAAGCTTAAGTACTAAACATACGAGTATAGCTCAATGATTAAAGATATTTTACTCATTCTCTATAATTCGAAGGTTCAGTTTCTCATCTCCACATTTGTCTACCATCGTGTGATTTAGAGTGTGTTTGGAAGAATCATTTCTACAATTGTCAAAATCACTTTTCTTTCTATTGATCATATTTGACAAATTAGAAAATKGATTTTAGGGAAGCTTAAAATCACTTTTAATCGATTTTTAAGGTATCAGTTACTTGGATGTTTATTTTGGAAAATCAATTATATTCGAATCTCTTTTCTTAAAATTACTAATTCTACCATTACTCSTACACACACTCTTATGTTGTTTATAATAAAATTAGTTTTCTGCTTGCAAATATTTTTTYTTACTMATAGATAAGATGTACAAAGATGCATTATGCGATCAAATAAAGACAAATCTTGACAAAGACATGGAAAGGCTTGCTTGGTTAGATAAGGTAGCCTTCTTCTATGAAGTTTGTYGAATGACATTTTTTAACTAAGTTAACCAYATATAGTCTATTTTGTTCAATTATGCAAGTGTAAATGTTGGGGTCTGTTCGACGAGAAATTCAATAAGAGAAACTCGAATTAATGAACTTGTATTTGTATGTATGTATGTGGGTGTTACAATCTCTAATGTATAATCCTCTGATTAATTCTCTCAAATGTAAACTTTAATTCAGTGGCTCGTGAGCTTGTATTTGTATGGTTGATGCCTTCAGCTTCTCCCTTGACGAAGGATCTTTYAAGTCTTCAGCTTTGAGTTTGTTCGAGGACTTTGACTTGTTGATGAAGTTCTTTGGCTTGTAGCTTGATGAAGACTTTGTGCAGTCTTTGGCTTTGTGCTGGTGAAGTTCTTGACTTTGCAGCTTGTGAAGTGTTTCGACTTTGCAGCTTGTGAAATGCTTCGACTTTGCAGCTTGTTGAAGTTCTTCGGCTTTGTAGTTTGTGAAGTTCTTCGGCTTTGCAGATTGTGAAGTGCTTCGGCTTTGTGCTGCTTGTTGAAGTTCTTCAGTCAGTTTGATGAAGACTTTGCAGTTTGATGGAGTCTTCAAGTATTGTTGCTTGAGAGAGAATATTCAATGTTCTTGAAGTCTCGTACTCTTCAAGTCTCTAATTCTTCAAATCTTGTTGGCTTTGGATGCTTCACTTGACTCTGAAGGATTGTAGACGATTATGAGTGCTCTTAATCTCCAATTCTTCTAGACCTCTTCCAATTCTTCTTCCTCTTGGCTTCCTCCACCCCATCAAATGATAGGTGACCATCTATTTATAGAGTCTTGGTGGGTCTTTTATGGGCAAACGACTTAATGGGCCATCAGCTTGGCCTAGTCTCTTCATGGGTTTGGATCCAATTAGTTGATTTTATCGGACGACCATAAGAGAGAYACGTGGCACAATTTGATTTCTTGATTTAAAAATCAATTTAGAACACGTGTAAATTTGTGATTGGTCCTAAATATAATTTTAATTTTGTGACGTGGCATTTAGTGATTAGCCGAAATTTCTCCGTCAACAGGGTCTTATTTGATAACAATTTTTTTTTTAAAAGTTATCTTTGATTTATTACTTTTTGTTTTAGTATATTCGTTTACCTCTCTTATAAACCTATTTGAATGGTTAGCTAAATTTAAAAAATAAAAATAAATTTTAAAAAACTACTCTAGGTAGTTTTTGAAATTTATATAAACTTATAATTTTAAAAAATAGATAACTAAAAGATAAGTTAGTTATTTAAAATTGAAATGACCTTTTTTTAAGGCCTGTTCAGTAGGTTTAATTCCTTGTTTTTTTTTTCTCGTTTTCGTTTTTTAATGAAGAAAATAGAATTGAGTTTGATAACTGTTTCTTGTTTTTTTTTTAATTTTAAAAAATAGAAATATGCTTAACSGTAATAAAGCAAACAGAGATTAACTCGGCTTTGATCTAGTGAAGATTTTGATTGGTAGGAAATTTGTTGATATTCGGCACTGGGCGATTCTACTCTCAAATGATCTTTTGATTATTGATTAAAACATGTTGAATGACAGATATGACAAGTCACAATAGTAGAGTCTCGATATTCCCAATGTGCACTCTTGGTTACTATCATTTTTCTTTTGTTGGTGAATGAAGATTAGCTTTTAGAGTCTATTTAGTTGGTTACTATCATTTTTCTTTTGTTGGTGAATGAAGATTAGCTTTTAGAGTCTATTTAGAAGGGTTTCTAAAAGTAGCAGCAAATTTTTAAACCACGCATTTTAGCACCTAGCCGCTATTAGATAGTCACAAATTTTATTTAACCCTAGTCGTGAAGAATGGAGCTTTGATAGATCGCCAAATTTGTTTTCTTTATCTTTTTCTTGTTGCTTGAAGCTCCTCAATGTTGTAGATTGAATTTTTTTTATTCAAGTATGAACTAGTTTTATTTTCTAAGGCATTAATGTGTAACCGTTTATTTTTTTTTAAGACAACAAGTGAGGTGGGGGGATTCGAATCCATAACCTCTTGGCAATGTAACCGTTTATAAGCTAAGGTCATGCTAGCAATGTAACCGTTTATTTCATCCCACTCTTTTGTGTTAATATTGATATTTCTATTTCATATTTTGTTGTGAGAACTATTGAGAGCTTAATGTGTGTTAAGAATAGACCATATTATTTTCATYGACTTTATATCATGATTATAGTTGAGCAAGATGAATTATTGATAGTGTKGAACYGTTTCCTCAATTTATACAAGAGATAGAGATATTCTCGTAGATATGCTGCGACAAATGTTAAATTTTACCTTCTTCATTATCTGAATAGTTKGAGTTATCATTAGAGATATAGATAACTTATTATTATTTTTTTTAAATTCTTTGTTGCTCGAGAAATACTATTGAATTTATAGGGTAGAACCTACCAACAACAAGAATATCGATTATTATTGATGGAGGGTAGGAGACAATAACAATATAGTTGTTACTTTAGAGTTTCAATCAAATGAGTTTATCCATTGTTTCGTTAATTGTTGTTMTTTGATTGTGTTTCCTAATCATTTATTTGATGTTTAGATAAAATTGGGGTAACGAATTTCATACTTAGTAATTCATAGAGAACGATACTTGTACCCAAACTATTACTTGTAATGATTTTACAGTTGTGAAAATAGAGTAATAATTCCATTCTTAGTCCACATTCTCAAAGTGACGCTATCCCTTGCATTGTAATTAAGCWCAGCTTCACACCAGAGTAATATTTGCAAGAGTATATGTCGCCAAACACCACAATGATGCAAGTTTCTATTTGCAAGAGCTAGAACCCACGTTAGAGACCGTGTAGGATAGTTGCTAACGTGTCACCTATTTCTTGTTTCTTTTCTAAAATTTTAAATTAAAATAAGTAAACTTTTATATGAAAATTAATTTTTAAAATAAAATAATAAAAATGTTTATGTTATATTTATTATTTTTTTATTATGCCTTCTATAAATAAAAAAAATGACAAAATAATATTTTTATTACACATTAAATGTTAAGATCACGCATCAGGTTTCTGACCGTAGATCCACAGTAAAAAAAAATGTTTGTGATTGTTCCAGAAGAASTATGTTTTGAAGAAAAAAAAACTATAAAACTTATATTTGTTTCCAAAATTTATACACAATTTTTTAAGAAAAATGTATTAAAAATGAGTAACTAAAAAAGAATTACTAACCACTTGTATTTCTAAAATATAAAACAAAAATCAAAACGTTATCAAAACAACCAACTTCTACATTACTATAATTGAATTTGAGGTAGTTACTCGAATGGGCTGAAATAAAAGAATAAAGGAAGAAATCAACAAACAACGGCGGAATTGAAAGTAAGCAAAACAGGTGGCAGGTAGAACACTAGAAGAACAAAACAATCATAAATTAAGCAAATGTGTAAAATACGCCACAACTTTTTATTTTATTTTATCAAAATTTCTGAATTAACAAAAAAAAACTATTTTATTTTGTACTTTCATTTCTATATTTTCAAAATATTTTCAAAATGTTCATTTAAGTTCCTATAAGTCGTTGATTAGTTTCTAATTTTATTAAAAAAACTAACTTTTTGTAATTAATTACGTTTTTTTAATTTTTTTTAGAAATATTCTAAAAATTATATAGAAATTTTGGAAACAATAATAAACAAGTTTTTTTGTTTCGATTTCCAATTTATTACAAAACATTAATATAAATATTGCTCGATCAATATTGAATTCATGGATGTTGGAACTATCTATTTTTTTAATTAAAAATAAGGAAATGAAAAGTTACCAAATGGGTCATATAATTTTTATTTTGATTTATTTTAATCCCGTACTTCATTTTCCTCTTTATATTTTTAAAAAAGTGATTATTTAAATCTCTTAATTTTATTTTTAATCTATTTTTTTATCTCAATTTCAATAATTATGTTAATATTTTATAAATATAAATTAAAAAAATTAAAATACAGAGACTAAAATGAAGGGAAAAAAACATTTTAAAATGCAGCTATATAATTTCTTTTTGGAACAAAAATTTCTATATAAATTAAAAGTAAAAAATAGAGGATCGAAATGATATTTTAATTTAAGAAATATTCGAATCCGAGTTGCACGCTTGATGCCAAAGGCAAGGCAATGGCGGAGAATCTTCCAGAGAGAGACCGTGTGGACCCCACTCGTGTTCGTTAGATAAACGCGTATTCAAGAGGCGTGCCAGACACGTAACAAATCAGGCCATTTGGCTATTTAAGCAGCAGATATTCCCCAAAATTTGTTTACATCCACAAAACTCTCGAGGAATTAGGGTTACGAATACGTTCGATTTAGAGAGTCGAAGATGATCGAGGTGGTGCTCAACGATCGTCTCGGGAAGAAGGTTCGGGTAAAGTGCAACGAAGACGACACGATCGGAGACTTGAAGAAGCTCGTCGCTGCTCAGACCGGAACCAGGGCCGAGAAGATCAGGATCCAGAAGTGGTACAACATCTACAAGGATCACATCACGCTCAAGGATTACGAGATCCATGACGGCATGGGACTCGAGCTCTATTACAATTGAATCGTTGTGAGTTTCGTATCGTTAAGCTTTTGATTCCTGCTGTGTTTGGTGGTTTTGGCTTTTTCCTTTATGATTCGTTGATTGTTATTGTTAGAGTCGGTTTTTAGAATATTTTGTTTAGTTTTTCTTGGATTTTTAGGGTTCATTTGACGCGATTAAGAGGTTCAGGCGCATGTTCTTAGAGGTTGTGAGGATTCAGGTCTATCTCTAAGATGAGCGACCAGAGATTATATTTTCGATGGACGTGGTAGGGTTGAGGTTGACATCGCGGTATTATCACAGAGGTGTAAACCGCCAATTACCTGAGAAGCCTTGTTCCCCAAAGAACCCGTTCTCTTTCCTTTATCTTTGATTGGGAATTTATGGTCCACCCCAATATCAGATCGGGTTACACGATTTAAAATCATGRGATTTCCTCTGATATGCGAGTCTTGTATTGCAGAAAAGGCTTTATGTATATCTCTGGTCTGCGCTTAGCTAATGCTTCACTCCGAATGTTTTGATGTCTCTTGTATATGGAATTTGCTACCCTGTAGACGACAACACACTTCCTCAAGGATGGGTAGAAATTTTTTATTTTAAAAGTTGATGCTTAGTTTTTTATAGATATGATGCTGCCCTGTCCTATTGATCTGATCTTGTGCTTTAGGGAGCCCGAATTTGGCATCATTTTCCATTTCAGCACAGATGGGTAATGATTTTCTTCTTCCTTCGAATTCCAGATAAGGAAGGGACGTGAAATATATTCTCCAACCTTCAAAACTGCGGCTTGATCTTGATCTATGAAAGCTAATTGAATTTTTATTATTTAATCTTAAATCATTATCAATGACTAAATACATATAACAATGAAAATATATTAATATGTGTCTTTTATGGTTAATTATAGACATACAATAGTTTAAAGAGATTGGATGACTCTGAGTGGAGGCTACGGAAATGTAATAACTCAATTATGGTGAAGAACTGGAAGACACCGAAGGATTACTCTCTCTCTAATCTCGCAGGACGTCTTAAAACAATTCCTAACGATTTTATCCAATGTAGGCAAATGGGTTCCTTGTCATATTGCCACCAAAATGGGTATAATCTCTCTCTTAACTCCTAAGTTTGCCATTGATGAAGAAKTACAAAGTCCTGTGGTAGGTGGCCTTTCCTTTACTTTGATTAATTTTTACTAGTATTTCTAGTAATAATTTATTTTTTTGTTCCTTAAATTTTACTCCTTTTTCTATGCTCTTGACCTTAGCATCTTTTATGCTAGCCACCATCATTCATCAATCAGTCATTTAATGGTGTCAAAGACCATTGGTGAATCTCCCAACCAAGGCCTTCGGTATGTTGAGGCATTTGAGAAATTTGAGCCGATTAATCATTAGTGTTAATGGCGGATATTTATACTGCCAGAATTAAGAATCAAACCCGGTTTGTAGGTAATGTGGTGATTGGTGAAGATGACATAACCCAGGGGATAATTGTATTCTGTTTAGATGTCAATCTTATCCCAATGCTACTGCTTTGACTGGCCAATGGGTTTATTTGAGAAGTGAAGGATTCATGGTGTTTTATGGCATGAACTTGAGCATTGCTACGGTCCATAGGTAACTGTCATGCAATATCAACATCTGTTCTGTTAAACTGCCAATCAAGTCCCAAAATCTTTTTTGGATCACCAATTTCCAGCTTTYCAGGTCATTCGTAGTTGCCATGCATCTCTCTTTCTGAATCCAACAAATATAGGGACTTTTGTTGACTGAGAGAACAATGAGATGGACCCCCGTTGGCTTATCTTGGATTCACTGAGTTTTGGAGTTTGAGGCAAAGATTAAACTTTGGTAGCAGGTTGAAAGCAACTTTCCGTTGGGTTTTTTTGCTATAGACACAGTTAAATCAAATGCAAAATGCTTGGGAGCATGTTAGACGTGAACTATGTGCCTTGTTTACAATTTCAGTTACCTTGTTTCAGAWWTTTTTTTTGATTCAGGAATATACTTCATTAAATAGGAATATCACTTGTTAAGTATTATRTAAATAATTATTGGCTGATCGTGTTTAAAGCTTTCAAATATATCGAATGCTGATTTATGTCGGTCTATAATTGATTGATTAAGTGTGATATAAATCATTATTGCTTTCGAAGTTTGTCAAATATCGATCAGGTTGATTACATTTAAAATYCATCTCTTATATAACTTTTCATGTTATATCTCTTTCAGTAAATTACTAGATATGATATAGGATGACTATTTTCTTCCTGGTCTTGAACCATCCAGGAAAGTTCGTTATTACTCTTTTCATATATTTTCTTTAAACCAAGTTTGAAGATAGTTTTTCTTATCATGAAAAGGCCCAAGTTAGTGCTAAAACTGATCAGTTATCTCCAAATTTTAATTTAAGCAATTTGGGACTTTAGTGAATGTTTACTGTGTCAGGTGACGCAAGTTCTTTTGCTCATTTAATAAAAAATTCWTGGTGAATATTATAAATTGAATTTAAATTTTTTCAAAGTTCAACAGAAATTCATGTTCTAATATGCTGAAGGTAATATGTTCGTAGTAGTTATAAACATTATGGCTCTTCTTCTTCTTCTTCTTATATATATATATATATATATATATAAATAGTATCATAATTTCAAAAGTTTCAATTGAAATGAATACACGTTTATAATCGAACTATATAACACAACATTTCCTTAATCAAAAGTTTTAGAAATAATCTGGAATGATGTCTGAATACTTAATCGATTTCCAAAATTTTCCTCTGCATCTGAAGGTATTAAATAAAATGTTGAATAATATTTAGATATATTAAACTCCTTGATGACAATAATTGCAAAATAAACTCTTTTAGAACATTTCTACTAGCGAGTTGTGCTCGAGGGGACAGGCCACTGGGAATGAACGAAACTTTCAACTGTTCTTTAAGTTGGGTGGTAATCTAGCTTGGTCTTAAAAGTATTCGGAAGTAAGTTTTGGAAGAATTTAGGAGTTAGCACCATAAATGAGAAAAATGTTTTTCCTTCAATCTTCTTCTAGGTAAAATGTTGGTCTATCTTTGATGATGTGTTACAGTCACATGTGATGAATGAGATTTCTTTCTTGTGATACTTGTGTGTTATGTATTCTTTTGCCTTTCCTGTCCATCTCAAATAGCTCTAAATATCTTTATTTATTTTGATTTTCTAAACACAGAACTATCCTCTAGAGTCATTTAGGTGTCTCGAATTAAGTTAAACATCCTGCATTTTGTCAGAGTGTTCAAGAACTGACTTGTGTGGAATTTACTACAAAGCAGTATCAAGTTTTGTGCTACCAATTCCTTGAAATAAGAAAAAAGATTCAAACAAAAAGCAYAAAAGGAATATGTTTAGATTTCAGTTCTAATTTTATTGAATTATAGGCTGCTTACTTGAATACTAATCTTCGCTATCTTCAAGTATATATTGATTATTAAGCTCTGGTCGATACTCTATTGGCTATTTTAAAATTTATGGATCCTCCATTTCAAATTCTTTGCTAGAAGGATTTTGRCTGCTTAATTTATTCTTCATGATGATGATGATGGAYAGCTGTCAAGCTAGCTAGGTTCTCGTTTCTCAATTAAAGTAGTAAATTCTTTGCTCCAATCATCATATCAACTAGGGAGCAACACTTTGGTGTTTGGTTTGGTAAGAGGAGCGAAGTCCATTCAATAAGTTTACGTAAATCCTTTGCTTCTGTTTTTTCACTCGCTTCGTCTTTTTATTGGAAGAATCAGCTAAAATCGAAAATTTTATAAGAGCATACAAGGTTACACAAAAACACTACTGTTAGAGTTAATCAAGGAATGCATATGATTACTGAAGTATTTCTTAAACTTTTTGAGCATTTGCTACTGAAGTAGTTCCTCGTACACACCAGCTAGGGTATGATTGCATATGGGCACTTTTTCTGCATCTTTGTTTACCGTACTAGGAGCCTCAAATCTAATTAGTTTTCTCACAAGTCATCTAATTGAGGAATAACTACATGCATCTGAGATCTAAACTTCGAAATCCTCTCCAAATTCGACCTGAAGGTTACATATTTGATTAAGTTGGTCTTCATGTTTGGTATAAACTTGACAGCCCTGGGCTAAGTGAATAAAATTTGAATCCTTGTGTTTTCTTTGTCCCTCATCTACGCTAAATGGTATTGTGCCATCTGCATGTCCAAGGGAGTATATAATTTAAAGTTCATTCTTCTTTAGTTTCAAAGCATTCTAAAACACATGCGATATGCATTTACAACAAATTGGGAGTAAGGAGATTTACAACAAATTGGGAGTAAGGAGATTCGAACATCAAGGAGTAGGTGTYAGTTATTATTGGCTCACGTGCGGGCTCCTCTATTCAACTCAAAATATCTCCAAATGAAAACATAATTTTYCATGGGACTGAGAGTGTCTCAACGTAGTTTGTCTTGATCTGCCGTTTGGAATAATTGGCAAGTTAGTTTCTTAAATGCATCACAGTTCTAAACAGATCCACTGGTACTACTGTTCTTTTTGTTCGATCTCTTTTTCTTCTATTACGAAAGACAGCTGATAATTTTTCACCAAGTGCCCATTTTTGCCCTCTTCGAAGGATGACTGAAACTTTTTCAAGTATTTGCATGGATTCAAATGGCCAATCTCAATGCGACTGGAACTTTTTAATTTTTGCTCTTTCCCGCTGTGTTTTT